CAGCTATGTATGTAATCTAAAGGGAAGTTCAGATTCCCAAACTTGGTGATTATCTGAAGTTTGAACCAAACCAAAATCTGTTATGTTCTAATTAATTAATATCTTTGTGGCCTCTGGTCTCTCCTGGAGGGGGATCAGTGTTCCTTCCCATACGAAGATTTACTCCCTACAACCTAGTTCAGGCCTCCAGAAAGCCACATAGCAGGGTCACAACACACCTCCCCTGTGCCCCAGGTGCTAGGAACTGAGCCCAGGGCCTTGCACATGCTAGGCAAGCAGTCTGCTGCTGAGCTATGTCCTTAGTCCTGGGACATTTTTGACACTTGGAGTTAGGTGATTATTTCATCATGCTGTGAGAATTTCTAAGTCCCTGAATCAAGGCTGAAGGTGGGTGTAATTAGTGCTAAATTGATAATCTACATATTCCTCTTTATCCTCTAGCCACCCTTGGAGTTAGATTGGGGTTATGTGTCTAGTGCAGGCCTTTGTCTGGAACCAAAAATTATGGTATCATTTCAGAGAAAAGCACTGAAGACCCAGAGTGCCTTCTCCTTTTACCTTCACGGTGAGGCCAGTCGTCATGTTACAAATAGAGAGCTACAAAATGGTAAGTGGGGAAAAATATATCCTCTATACATAAGTGACCATCTAGAACAAGCCTCCACTCCACCCCAACCCAACTTACCTCAATTTGGAATACAAGAGAGAACTAAATATCTGCTGTATTAAATCACTGAGATTTGGGGTTTAATTTATTGCTATATTATCCCCAGGAAAATACAGTTGTTTAAAATAACTTGTGAAGACAAAATAAAAGAGATTTCAATGTCCACTGATGACATACCAGGTAATTCAGACAACCTTCCCACTAGGAAAGTTGAACAAAACATTTTAACAATCTGCTTGAAAGCATTGGAAAAACAACATGGTAGTGAAAAATTATCAGCTTGCCATCTGACCAACCAAGAAAAGATGAAAATCCAGAGAAGTGAGCTTGACATTTGAGGATACTTTTCTCCTAGGAGCATTTGTTAATTCCAGCAAAGTCAGTGTTTGATAGCTGAGCAGTATGTTTGATGGCCTGGTATGGAGGGGAACACAGTTGGACACTGGTAAGAACACAATAGTGTGAATTGGAACCCTGAAGTGCTGTCCTGTAGGAGAGGATGAATTGGAAGTAAAAGAGCCTTCACACAGCTTGCAGCCCAGCTTCTAATCATCAGGTGGCCCAGAATATCTCAGGCCCTGAAACTGGACTAAGGTGATCCCATATAGCTAATGGGCTCAGGCTCCTGGAAGAAACAAACAAAACTTTCCTGGAGGAAAAAGCAGGGGGTATTGTTTTAAGCTAAAAATTATTCTTCAAGCAACTTTCCAAATACAATGTCTAATACAATAAAGAAAACAAGGCATCGGCCCAGATAAGATTATATGAACAAGAACCAGCAAAATCAACAGAAAATAGGAACAATTACATGGCTTCCATATATTGGCACTGATCTGAATTTAAAACTTTAGCTTACTAAATACAAGGTCGAAATTTTTACAAAAAAAAAAAACTGTAAATATTTATTTATTTATTTATACTGATGATTGAACCCAGAAGTTCTCTAACACTTAGCTACTCCCCTAGCCTTTTCTAGTTTTTATTTTGAGTAACTCAATAAGTTACTCAGGGCCTTGAAAAATTGCTGAGGCTACTCGTGAATTTGCAGTCCTCCTGCCTTAGTCTCCCTGGTTGCTGGGATTATGGGTGTACACCACCAGTCCCACCTTGGAAATATTTTTAAGAAGACTCAGCAGAAATAAAAGAAGAAGCAACAAAAATTCTAAAACTGAAAATGCAATAACTGAAATTAAGAAAGCATTGGATGAATTTTTATCAGATTAGAACTTGCTAGTCAACTTACTTTATATACAAACAGAGATTTGAAAAATTGTGGTATATACGTGTAATAAGAATTGTAATGCAAAAAAAAACAACAAAGTACATGTATAAAGACACGAATTGGCATGAACATACTTTATATAAAAAGATATGAAAAATTGTATATGTGTAATAAAAAAAGAACTTGCTAAAGAAAGAAAGAACTAAAAAATAAATCAGAATTACATATAAAAAGGCAAGGCTAGAAAATACAGAGGAGATGGTCAGAGACTCCTAGAGAGTATAGAGGGAATGAAGCAAAAGAAGTATCTTAAGAGATAACAGCTCAATAGAGGTAGAGAGGGGAAAAAAGAGACAATAACTGAGAATTATCCAAAGCTGGTGTAAGACATGGATCTACAGATTGAAAGTTAGGCAGAGAGGCGCAGTGGTGCACTCCTGTAATCGCAGCCACTAGGGAGGCTGAGGCAGGAGGATCAGAAGTTTAAAGCAGCCTCAGAAATGATGAGGTGCTAAGCAATTCAGTGAGACCCTGTCTCTAAATAAAATACAAAATAGGGCTGGGATATGGTTTAGTGGTTGAGTGCCCCTAAATTCAATCCCTGGTGACCACCCCCCCAAAAAAAGAAAGTTTTATTATGTGAACTTGGCAGAGAAAAGAAAGGCGGAAACTGTTCTTTTTAAGTCAAAGATAAACTCTGAGAGTTCTGGCTTATATGGAAGGGTGAGATAAAAACAGAGAAGGAAGAATGGGTCTGTTGGGGTTGGAAGGAGGTAGTATGAAGCAGAAATAGCAGACTCCAATTTTTACTTGTTGAATTTAACATACAAGCAAGAATAACACTGGTTCATTATTTCTTGAATAACTATTATTTTTGTCATGATTTTCATGATCATCCAAAACTTTTATTGTTTGGAAAAGTCAATCAAGACTTTCTTATCTCAAGAATTCAACACTCTCAGGTCTTTCCTTCCTGCTAGAATCTATACTCCACCTCCAAGTGTTGCTCTACAAATGGATGTTTGCAGCAAAATGTACAAAGACAAATGTGGTATTTCTACATATGAAACTAACTTCAAATGATGGAATAAACACAATTTTCTATTATAATCTGTAATATTACATCAAAGCTTATCTTAAAGGTTTTTTATGTGTGGTATATTTAGTTATTTTGTTTTATTAACACAAAAAAAAATAATCCACTGGCTACTATAAATTTTTTACTTAAGAAACAGGACAATTTTCACAATAAACTCTGTGTCTGATGAATGAAAGTGACATAGGATGCTTTCTTTATGACTGAAAAATTCCCCAAAAAGGTTAAAAGATGATATCAATAATGTTTGGTATTTAATGAGCACTTTTATATTCTAAAAGGGGCTTACATGGATTAATTCCTTAAAGAGATTTAAAGATATCTTATAAATTATATACCAATGATATAAAGAATATTATTTAATGGAAATTCTGGCAATTCCTTTTTTTTATCCAAGATTATTCTTGTTTTGTTTTGTTTTTGTTAGTTCTAATATTATTCTTTTTATAAAATACATTATAATTCCACAGATACAACTAGGCAACAGAAATATATATGGGAAAAAATACTTTACTATAATATACTACAAGAAAGTCTATCTTTTTGTTGTGATATTAAACTTTTCTTCCAAAAATAATAAAATTTTCAAAATCAATAAACAGGAAAATAATTTTATTTTTAAATAATCTTTTACATGCCACATTACATTTTTAAATATATGTAGAGAGTACCCACATTATTGCCTGATGCAATCAAAGATGAGTTTTTCAACACAGGTTTAATTGTCTCAGTTTTTTTCATTGTAGTATTTCCCTGTAGAACTACTGCTATATTGTTGTGGCTTCCCTACATATCATTCCAAAGAAAGTTATTATGAAAAGTTCCACCATAATTTTGTACAATTTAATTAAACTTCTTAATATAATCACAAGCAGGAAAAGGCTAAAGACATATTTTTTTAAAACAGAAGATTCTTTCAAGACAATTTTATCTAATAAAATGCACAAACCTACATCTGAAACTATTAAATGTCTTAAAGATTTGTAATTTGAAACATTATTTAACCACATTCTTGATATTACAAAGGGTTAAAATTTAATAGTCAACCCCTTGTTTATTTCTTTTCAGCCATGCTAACTATTGGATTCCTAGAAATTTGGCTCTCTTGCTTAGCTTTTTTTTTTCCACTTTACTAATTTGAATCTCTCATATAATTTGTGACCCTGAATATTTTAAAAACCTGTGAATTTATAAAATGGTTGGGTTCTTCAATTAATATAGGACCCTAAGTTTCTTAGAGTCCAGACAGTCATTTAATGTTTGAATTCCCTCTGCCACTCCCATCCCCCACACCTACCCCAAAGAGAATTACCCACAAGACATTTCATTCCATTTCCAATTTTCATTACTAATAATGTCTTCCCTATTCTGAGCTGAAATCTTCTTTCGTACAACTGCCACTCATTTTGGGCTTTGCCAATCTCAGCACTAGCTCTGGCCAGATGACCTTGGGCAAGTTAATGTCTTGTTGCTTTAGTTTCCTTAGTTGTAAAATGGAGATAATAAATGTGTGTTATCAATACATGGAGATTAAATAAAAATGTTTATAAAGCACCTGGCACAACAGAGGGCCTCTAAGAATGGTACCCTGTATTAGAAATAAGAAACCCTCCTCTGCATGGCTGCCATCTGAGATGTGGTAGCAACTATCATTTACTCTCCTCCTGATCAAACACCCCAATTTCCTTCCATGTTTCTTTGAACAAAAAGATATTGTCTTCCTTATTCTTCTAGTCATTCCTTTTCACATAAGTTCGGTTCTTTGAGAAAAGGGTCAACTGCCAATCCAAATATATATGTATTAAACTATTTTATCAACTGAGAACAAACTCTATATTCATGTCATTGCAGAATAATATTTTCTTTTTTACATTGCTATTTAATCTTCTTCCTTTCCCCTCCTACCTCAAGTGTCCCCATATGTGGCCCTCTGGCAAGCTGGGCTCTGAGGAAGGCAATAAGTATGGATACTTTATGGTTCTAAGTGAGGAAAAGACAGAAGCACCTCTCAGATATTAGGATATATCTGAGAAGTTTCCCTCGTCGTTCTGATAGGACGTCAGTTCTCCCTCCTCGAGGGTCATATCTCTCTGTCCTCTGTGTTCCTTCTTCTGGAATTCACAATTTTGAGTGGTGGCGCCATAAGATATCTTCTTTCTGGGACTCACAAAAGTCTCGTGGTTGAGTTCTGTCTCCTCAGCTAATTCATCTTGGTCAATGATTCCACATTTCTCCTCACAGAGAGACTCTGGGTCAGCCCAATCCTGTTTCTCCCCAGAAGCAAAGATGCCATAGAAGATCACACCACTATAGTGCACCAGTGCAGCGATGAGGAACACATTCTGCCACTCCTCCCGGGTCTAAATGGAACAAAATGCAATTAATGTTTTCACCAAAAACAGAGATTTAGCAGTGTGTTCTGAAGGCCTTCACTGAGACAAAACTACCTGCCAAACCCAAGGCAACACTGTGCTTCTTAATGGTCAGACACTGCATTAAGACTATAATGAGAGTTGGGGTTGTGGCTCAGTGGAGGAGCACTTACCTAGCATGTGTGAGGCACTGGGTTCAATTCTCAGCACTGCATATATAAATACATAAAATAAAGGTCCATCACAAACTTTAAAAAAAGGCTAGAATGAATGTGATTTTGAATTTTAAAAATACATTTTAAAATAAATGACATGCAAAAATGCATGCTGCACCATTGCATAGCTCTCCTAAACATACAAATGTGCTTTCCTCTGTCATAGTAGACTAAGCCACACTTGCTTTAGGACCCAACGATTTTAAATATCAGAAATCTCTTTCTGGCTTACTGTTGGGTAAACAATATTTGAGCCATTGAAGTGTTCAACCTTTATGATCAGTAGCTTATTTATAATCATATTTTCTACGTAAAAAGTAGTAAATCAAAAAATAGGAACTTGGGTATAGATCAGCAGTAGAGTGCTTGCCTCGCATGCACAAGGCCCTGGATTTCATATCCAGTCCTGCAAAAGTTGGGAAGGATAGTATTTAAAGTAAGCGGAAAATAATAACTTAGATTGATAGGCGTGTTACCGATCTTATCATCTCATGAACAAAAAGGGGAAACATGGGGCTGGGGCAATAGCTCAGCGGTAGAGTGCTTGCCTAGCACATGTGAGGCCCTGGGTTTGATCCTCAGCACCATATACAAATAAATAAATAGAATAAAGGTGTTTAAAAAAATTCCTTCCTTTAAAAAAAAGGTGGTGGGGGGATTCTCTGGCTATCTCCAAATTCCATCTTCCTTTTTTGTCAACAAGCAAGGAAAGTTACCTCACACTTTCTTCTCAAAGAAGATGGAAGAATATCTGAAGTCATATTTGTAATAAGCAATTTGACTAAGAAAATAGGCCAAAACCCCATAGCAGCAAATAATTCCTGATTATAAAAAGTGGATCCTGAAATTTTTTCCCGATAGAGATACAGAAATCAAGTGGCCTGTGGTTGAACTCTGGATGGGTTGCAGGATCTCTCTGTACCTCCCATGCTAGTGTAAATACACAAAGGCTCAATAAAGACTGAGTGCCACACCCTTGAAGGTTCTTAGGAAGGATCATTAATGTCTTGTTTATTTTGCTTCTGAACAAGGAAGTAGAGCAGCACTAATATTCTTATGCTAGAACACACTAGGCAATAGATGGAAATAACCTATAAAGTTTAATCACTTCAAATTATAAAACAATCTTGGTAACTCATTTATCCTGAGTTGATGGCCTCAATTTCTTCTTTGGGTCTCTCAATGGTCTCTGTGACCTTCATCCCTGTCCCCTACACCTTTATTTCTTAGTTGAGAAAACATGGAACCAAACAACAATCAGTCCTGGTGGCATCAAGTAATGATATAAGAAATAGGAGGAGGAGGAAAGAAGAGGAAGAAGTGGTTCAGCAACTTCATCAAGGTTAAGGACACATGTATTTACATTTACAGGCTCAGGTAGGGCCTTGAGATCTCAAGTTTTGCAGCACTTCTACTGTAACCCATAACCACGAAGGAGACCATTCATTACCTTGTGCTTGGTCATTGCACCAACAATGAGGGGACAGACCATTCCAGAGAGGGTTCCCACTCCATTTGAGATCCCCATGAGAATGCTGGCATAGCGGGGAGCAATGTCGAGGTGGTTGACGTTAAAACCTACAGTGAAGCCAAAAACCTCAAAATCAGAGTCAAGAACGGGATTTCAGATATCCTTTGAGAAACACTTGTTGTGCCCCAATTCTCATCAATCCACTAGATACCCTCTAGTATATGACTAATGGGCCCTCTACCAAGAGGCCTCAGTTTAGCACTGCCAGGCTGTGTCTGCACAAAACAGTTAAACATGCTACTACTAGCAATGTCTGCTTGGGTTCTGGATGGGGAGAATTGCAGCATGTGTGTCCTGTAGATCTGGAACTCCAAAACATAGTGTTTAGGGAATCCTATAAAGCCAAAGCCTGCACCACATCTTTTCAGAGTAAACAATCAAATTTGTAGAATCCAACCTTACTCTGTAATATGCCCCCTCCTATCCCCAGACTCACTCCTAAAAGGCCTTGTAGGTAAGTCTGCCTTCATGTCCATGCAGCTTACAGGAAAGGCTGGGTTTTGGTTTTTGTTTTTTAAATAATAAACATTTGCATAAACATTAGCAGAGCCCTCTCTAATTGATAAAAACACTTTCACACACCTACTTGATTTGGAGTCTGTGCATTTCGGATTTGAATTTTATTTCTACCTCATAATCAAGTGCATTTTTACCTTAGTTCTCTCATCACTAAAGATGAGGATCCTCATCAGTAAAGTTGGTGGTCTTGTGATTCACCTCCTAAAGATACTGTGGCCTGAGACTCAAGAGAAACGGGTATTTGGGAGCCCTTAGAAAAGAGCTGAGCTATTGTAACCACCATCACCACTGCTGCTTCCACTGTCATTGCTAAGCATTTCCCTGTCTCTGGGGTCTTCTATCAAAAGTGGTGAAAGTGGTAAAATAGGAGGTAAGATAATATGTTGCCAACACCTCACTGTAGAATTCATTTGTCAGGAGAAAAGAATGAGTAGAAGGAAGGGGAAACCAGTGAAGGAAGGAAAGGCAGAGCTATGAACAAGGCTTGAGGCAGTGGAAATCAACTTTGCCAATACAGCCCAAGGGTGCATTTCAGAGTCAGTCAGATGTCAGCTCTGAGGTGCAACCCGAGTCTAAGGATTTAAACTTCCTGAACCTAAGTTTCCTCATCTATAAATTGGGGGTAGTTATTCCCATACATTTTTGAGTCTTAAATTAAATGCATGAACCTTCTATAACTGATAAAACACTTTCTTTTTTTTTTTAATTTTGTGGTTCTTTTTCTTTTTTTTTTTTTGTTTTGTTTTTAATTTTTTATTGTTGGTTGTTCAAAGCATTACAAATTTCTTGATATATCATATTTCACACTTTGATTCAAGTGGGTTATGAACTCCCATTTTTACCCCATATACAGATTGCAGAATCACATCAGTTACACATCCATTGATTTACATATTGCCATAGTAGTGTCTGTTGTGTTCTGCTGCCTTTCCTATCCTCTACTATCCCCCCCTCCCCTCCCCTCCCCTCTTCTCTCTCTACCCCCTCTACTGTCATTCATTTCTCCCCCTTGTATTATTTTTCCCTTTCCCCTCACTTCCTCTTGTATGTACTTTTGTATAACCCTGAGGGTCTCCTTCCATTTCCATGTAATTTCCCTTCTCTCTCCCTTTCCCTCCCACCTCTCATCCCTGTTTAATATTAATCTTCTTCTCATGCTCTTCGTCCCTACTCTGTTCTTAGTTACTCTCCTTATATCAAAGAAGACATTTGGCATTTGTTTTTTAGGGATTGGCTAGCTTCACTTAGCATAATCTGCTCTAATGCCATCCATTTCCCTGTAAATTCTATGATTTTGTCATTTTTTAATGCAGAGTAATACTCCATTGTGTATAAATGCCACATTTTTTTTATCCATTCGTCTATTGAAGGGCATCTAGGTTGGTTCCACAGTCTTGTTATTGTGAATTGTGCTGCTATGAACATCGATGTAGCGGTGTCCCTGTAGCATGCTCTTTTTAGGTCTTTAGGGAATAGACCGAGAAGGGGAATAGCTGGGTCAAATGGTGGTTCCATTCCCAGCTTTCCAAGAAATCTCCATACTGCTTTCCAAATTGGCTGCACCAATTTGCAGTCCCACCAGCAATGTACAAGTGTACCCTTTTCCCCACATCCTCGCCAGCACTTGTTGCTGTTTGACTTCATAATGGCTGACAATCTTACTGGAGTGAGATGGTATCTTAGGGTGGTTTTGATTTGCATTTCTCTGACTGCTAGAGATGGTGAGCATTTTTTCATGTACTTGTTGATTGATTGTATGTCCTCCTCTGAGAAGTGTCTGTTCAGGTCCTTGGCCCATTTGTTGATTGGGTTATTTGTTATCTTATTGTCTAATTTTTTGAGTTCTTTGTATACTCTAGATATTAGGGCTCTATCTGAAGTGTGAGGAGTAAAGATTTGTTCCCAGGATGTAGGCTCCCTATTTACCTCTCTTATTGTTTCTTTTGCTGAGAAAAAACTTTTTAGTTTGAGTAAGTCCCATTTGTTGATTCTAGTTATTAACTTTTGTGCTATGGGTGTCCTATTGAGGAATTTGGAGCCCGACCCCACTGTATGTAGATCGTAGCCAACTTTTTCTTCTATCAGACGGCGTGTCTCTGATTTGATATCAAGCTCCTTGATCCATTTTGAATTAACTTTTGTGCATGGCAAGAGAAAGGGATTCAGTTTCATTTTGTTGCATATGGATTTCCAGTTTTCCCAGCACCATTTGTTGAAGATGCTATCCTTCCTCCATTGCATGCTTTTAGCCCCTCGATAAAACACTTTCATGTGTTTGAATGCATATTGAGTACCTGCTACCCAGAGGTGAGAGCCAACACCTATACTCTTGATAGGTTGTTAGCCATCTGTCTTATTTACCACTACCTCCCCTGCACTAGAAAAGCATCTGGCATAGAGTAGCCACTCCCTAAGTATTTGTTTAATTAATAACTAATTTCAGTTACTTAAATTACAGCAAGGGGTTGTAATTTTGTTTATTCATATCTTTGTTTCCCTTGTTTGTTTGTTTTTTAATTCTCTTTCTGTACAAAGAACCTGGAAATAGGATTTAAAACAAACATTTTTTTTCCTAATCTTGCATATTGTTTGGCTGCTTTTTTCCTACCTCCATTCATGGAACATTTTTGAGAAAACCATTTCTGTAATAAACATACCTTCTCTTTCAGATCAAAGTGCCAGCAAGTCAGAATATAAAACAGCTGCAAGATTAATTAATCTTACAGTTCATTTGAATGTGATAAATACTTTATTAGAAAAGAACCCAGAGATAAAAAGCAATTAATGATTGTCTAGTATTATATTCTGATACAAAGCCTAGGCATCTGTGTTCAGCTAAAGATAATGTGACAATATCTCAGTTTCTTGATGATTGCTCCACAATCCTAGTGTTCTGGGTGTGGGGGCAATCATCAAGAAACTGAGATATTGATAGATTTTTGTAGCAAATGAGAAACTGGGAGAGTCTGTATTTTCTACACAGAACATCTCCCAAAGTGGCGTCACTCGGGCTTAGCATCTTTCTAGCCTCACCTATCAAGATTGTCTTGTGTATAATCAGCTCCCAAATTGTGCCAGTCTTCCCCAGAATCCTTATCTATTCCTTGCAAATTTTGCAGACAGCAGATCACCCTGGAACTATCACCCTCATGGATACAGTCACTCCCACAGTGTCATTGTTGAGTCAGATAGACCTTTATTTTAAGTTAAGCTACTCAACATATTTAGGTAAATTAAATTACCTTTCTGAGCTTCAATATCCTCATCAGTAAAATGGACATAGCAATTCCCTTATCATAAGGTTGTGATGGGGATTAAATGAGAGATTATGCTTTAAAAGTGGCAAGCATGCCATAATCCCAGCAACTAGGGAGACTGAGGAAGGAGGATTGCAAGTTCAAGGCCAGCCTCAGCAATTTAGCAAGGCCCTAGGCAACTTAATGAGAACTTGTCTCAAAATAAAAAGGGCTGGGGATGTGGCTCTGTGATTAAGCATCCCTGGGTTCAATACCTAGCACCCCCTCCCCCAACAAAACAAAAAGAAGAAGGAGGAAAGAAAAAGTGGCAAGCATGAAGTGTTTTTTTTAAAAAATGGCAGCAGCTGTGATTGGGGGCATTGGGTTTCTCACCTTCTGATTGTGACTTAATTGGCAATCCAAAGGAAAGGAAGTAATATGAACCTGAACGTTTCAATATCTCTGAAGACAGGATATGAATCTCTTTTGCATCACAGAGTTATCAAGGGAAGGTGTCCCTCAACATCCTACTGGAAGAAAGTCATGACTGCTCTATCCTGGCTACTCAGAGGATGCTATCAGCATCACTGCGGCTTGTTAGAAATACAGACCTCAGGCCCCACTCTGGACCTACCAAATCAGCATCTGAATTCTGCAAGATCTTAGGGTAGTTTCTAAAGTTTGGTAAGCAAGGGTTAGTGTGCATAATAATATAGCAATAGCAACAGTGAATACTTAAAATTTTGTTCTGCCCCTGATGCTGTGCTAAGGGCTTCAAATACCTTATTTCCACTTGAATGTTAACTTTCTGAGGGCAGAATGTTTGATTTGTTCACTGTATCACTCCAGTGCTGAGAGCAGTGCCTACCTAGTAGAAAGTGTGGGGGAATGCATCAAAGATCTCCATCCATCCTCCCAACAATCCCATGAAGTTGTGGTTGTCTCTCTCCAATCTCTGAATGAGAACTTAAATAATTTAGCAAATTTTTCTTTTAAAGTGATAAGTAGTTAAGGATGGTCTCACACCCAGGTCCAAACCCAAATTCCTAGATACAAGCTACTTTGAAAGTAGACATTTCTTCCCAATTTATTCATTAGCTCTATTTACATTTCATAGATATCTCAAGCCCCCATTTTAGAGTAGTTTAGACCAAAAGTTCCATCTTTTTTTGTTCTAGCACATTACCACTCTATTTGATATTAAAGGTAGGCTGAGATAATGAGAAAAATATAGACAGATGACAGGTATAACTAACTGTGTTTCTGTCCTTTATTCACCAACCATATGGCATTAGAAAAGTTCCCAGTTTTTCTGAGTTTTTGTTAAATATCAGTAAAATAATGAAAAATCAGTAAAATATTGATACCACTACTTGCTTCACAATGCTGTGAGATAGATGCAATTATATGAAATTCTTGGTACAATTTTTATTGCGATATTTAAAAATTAGACAAACAACTAAATTTTGCTTTCCCATCCAGTTTTGCACGGGGAGCTTCTGAAGTCTATTAGATATGACATGGTTGCACACTGGCTTCTCACTTACAGTAGATTGATTTCTGCCCCTGTAAAATGGGGATCCTAATAGCACTGATACCCCTAGGGTAGTTGTGGGAATGATAGGGCTTAATACACATGAAGAGTTTTGAATATGCTTCATCAAGGTCAGCTCATATCATCATTACTATTCCTACCTGCTCCACCTGTCCTGAAAGTCCCCTTCCCTCCCCAGACTTCCATTTAGAAAATGGAGCCTTCATTTTCTAAAATCTAAGGAAGCTTCCTTAAAAAAAAAAAAAAAAAAAAAAAGTAGGTCTCTGCTTGTGCCTCAAGGAAGTCACCTGCATTTGTGACTTTTTCCAGGGCAGAGTAAGTAGGGACAACCCCAGCTTAAATGGATGTCTAAGTCCATCCCAGTCATCTTATAATGTCTCCCATTAGACAGACTCTCTAGGCAGTGAAGTGGCCCTGTTCCTCAGAGTGGCCTGGCTACTGAAGGAGGGGGCTACAATGGCCTGTCTTTCCTTCCTCCTAAGACAAGATTCAGACACACTAAGGATACTTTACCTGAAATGGCAAAGCCACTAAATCCTACAGCAAGCACCAGAAAGGAGATAGCCACCCCTTTGGTGTGGGAAAAGCCAACCACCAGGAGCAAGGTTGCCTCCATGCCAAAACCTGCAAATAGAAACAGTGGTGGGGGGGGAGTGTCATTTTCATGTCAGCTAGAGGTTATTAATTTATCAAATAAGAATGAATCCATATTTCCATGGGCCTAGGTTTTGCTCCACACATTCTAGCACAATGCTATTACCCAGATGGGATAGTCTGTGAACTTGATAACATTATCTTGGTGCACATTGAACACCAAATGGTTCCAGTGATGTTCCTGGGATGCAGAATGTTATTAGTCACTTCATGAGTAGTTGTACATACTCTTTCTAAATACTAAAACTCTTCTACATGCTTTTACTGATTCTTTGTTTGACTACATAGGTTATGGCCTCCCACATAAAAATAACATGACAAAATGGACATAGTGCTGTACATTTGTGATCACGGTTGTTCAGGTGGCTAAGGCAGGAGGACTATGAATTCAAGCCCAGCCCAGGCAATTTAGCAAGATCCTGTCTCAAAATTTTTTTTTTTTTTAAATAGGGGGAGGAGTGTACCTCAGGGATAGAGTGCTTGCCTAGCAAGTGTGAAGCCCTGAGTTCAATCCCCAATAGCACAAAAAAATAAAATTAAAATCACACAACAATATTAATATTTATTGCCAGAAATGGCCAGAAAGCTGTAGTAGATAAATATCTGAAATAAAAATCAGGGCCTGACTGCTTGTAACAGAGAAAGCAAAATTCTTCACCAAATCTTAGATATTTGCATAAAAACACAGCAGGACAAAAGTACTTTCTGTTCCTTTCATTCAAAATAAGTGAGTCCAGCACAATAAAAATGGATGAGAAAATTATGAAGAAATTTCTTCTCATAAAAAAAAAAGTCAGCCCACAGCAGACAAATAAATACCATTTGCAGTATGTGAAGTGCCCTGGAAACGGGGAGACAATCAGCGATGCTTCATTCTGGAGACTGCTGATGCTAGACATCTCCACACCACTGACCTACAGTTACATCAAAGGCAACATACCCAAACCACGTCTCAGTTCCCCTACTTTTTTACTCCTATGAAAAATGAAACAACCACCACCAATAGGTTCTTTGTTTTCCTTCTCTAAATTAATCTACTAATATTCGTGTTTAGGACCCAGATTATAAAAGTCAGATGAGATTGGCATTCAGTTCCACCTCAGAATCACTGATTGTGTAATCCTGGACAAGTTACTTCACCTCTTCAATTCCTCACTGGAAAAAAAAATGGAGATAATAATATAACCTTGTAGCATACTGGGAGACGAAATGCAATTGCATATGTGAGGTGGATGGGCACTGTTCAACAAATGGATACCAAAAGCCCAATGCAGAAACTTGAGAATCATCTTGAATTTCTCTTCTTTCCTCTGCTTTCACATAAAAATCTATGGGTTTGTCCTCAAAAATATCTACCAACTTCTACAGTACCTCCACAGTTCATGATCTTTCTGACAGCAGTTGTGGTCAAAATTTTCCTGCTTCTTAAATAATCAGCCAATTGCCCTCCAATAGGCACAACGATTGTCATCACCATGTGTGGGACTGCCGACAAGAGACCCACCTGGAAGGAAAAAGCACATTTCTTCTAAGAGATGCATCTGTCATTTCCTGCTCCCCCTCATTCCACTGCCCCACAGCCTCCACCAAATTTAGTCATTTAATGTGGGATCCAGGATGGTCTGAATGTCAGAATAAACACAACGAACAAGTGAATGATTTTGAACATGATGATGACTCTTATTCATCACAGAGGCCCCAGCAGCCAGCACAGGGATCGGTACTTAAAAGGCAGACCACTTGGCACAGAGTAAGTGCCCACTGGTGGCAGCCACCATTTGGTGACTCTACTAGTTCTTCCATAGTACCCATAGCTATGCAGACATAGACCTCTGCTAGGCTCTTGCTTCTTCCCTGGAGGAAGAAGATTTTTTTCTTTTATGATGATAGTTTGTTTCACCATCAAAATCTTCCCTCCCTGTAAACAGCCTAATGAAAGTGGCTGGGGACACTGAAGGACATTCTTTCTAAACCATCCCAAGCAATTGTTATTACTGCTACTGCCAGCACTATGGAGAGAAGAGCATCTGAAAATGAACTTTTAAGGTTCTTTCTATGGAGTAGTTTATAGGGAGAAAAGAAAGCACATCTTTTAATCCTTAAAATACATTGAGTTAACTTCAAAAACGCCTTGAAATTAGGTACAAATAAAATTTTTACAAGCAGCTTAATACAGCTCTGATCCTAAGAAAAAATTAAATATCCAATATACCATGCACTGAATATATAACTTGTCTGACCTCCAAGTTATTAGATGTCACAGAACAGTTATGAGTTATAATCAGCAATTTAATTATTTTATCATACAAATATATTCTCAGAATCAAGGGAGTTAAAGTTCAAGAATATTTGAAGCATATGTGTGTTTACCTTACTTATTGCAAATCCAAAGACCTCTTCAAAATAAGCAGGCTGACTTATTAAGAGTAGATAAAAGGTCCAGCTTCTACAAAAATTTGCCACAATGATTGCATAAACCGGCAATGATGTGAAAAATCTTTTCCATGGTGTATTAAATTTCTAAAGAGTGAAAATATTATGAGATTTTTCATGAAAATATTGGCATCTTATTTTTTTAAGAGTATGACACAATTACTAAGAGAAATATCCATATGAAAGAGGCAAGACTTTATCTTTCCATTTAGACTTACATTTAGACTGGCCAAGTTGGCACCTTCTCCAATGCTTGTCTCTATATATGTCTTCTCCTCATTGGATATTGTGGGGTGAGCTGCAGGGCACTCATAGGCCTGCAACAGCCAGAACATGTACCAGATAATTCCAAGCATACCTGCAGTTAAAAAACAGAAGGCTTGATGATATAGTCTAATTGTCTTCCTTCTCTTAATTTTTCAATTTTTAAAATATTCCAAAATTACAATAAGAATTTCTCAGCTAAGAGAAATTATTTTGTTATATTTTCCTGTTGTTGTTTACAGGTATTTAAAGAAAAATAATGTTCTACTAGTTAAAAAAAAAACCAAGTTTAATAAAAGTATTAAATTAAACTCAAAAAATAAGTGTTCCTTTTATGTAATAAATTGGTCTTAGTGACCTCTATTTTCATATAATAAACTCTTAGCCAAATCCTTCTAGAATTAAGTGCCATCTTCATGAGTCATGGTGTGAACACATAATGACAAACCACTCACCATAAATATAAAAGACAGAGGCCCATCCAATGTACTGCACCAATACCCCAGCCAGAGGCATGGCAATCACTGCACCCGCATAGGAGCCTGGAACCAGAAAAGATGGAGGGAAATTGACCAGTCACCATGCAAACCTTTTCAACCCATTTTCATGTGACAAAGCTCAGGACAAATCAAACTGAGCCTGGGTCTGACTGCCTCTGTGGGACGAGCCAGGCTAACTCCCAGTGTGCCTAAAACAGGACTCCCAGGAAAGGAAGGCGACCAGGATACCCTTGAGCTTCACCCAGGGACCATCCAGGGATTATACCAAGATTTCTCAGGTGCCACAAAGTGGAAGGACATGAGAGAATGGAATCAGAAGATGAGAAAAATCTAGGAGAAATTTTTCAAACGTAAACAGGCACAATATTGGGTGCTGAAGATAGTAAGCGAAAGAACATATGGAACCTGCCTTGTAGAGTTCACAGCTGGGAGGATTCTCACCTCCATCCTTAAATAAGAGACACTGAACTATTAAAAGGATTATGTTTTTTTATAGACTTGATGTTTAAAAAAAGAAAAAGAAACAGTTGAATTCCAGGATGGCAGGAAGGCTCTTGTCTCCATTCACTTCCCAAGTAGATACATTTTGAAAGTTTATTTCTGTGGAATAAAAATTATAGGAGGCCATTATTTTGGATGAGGTTCTTGCACTGGACCCCAACAGACCAGACTAAAAATCAAAATGAAGTTACTCATGCTAAAGTTTCACCAATCCAAAATTAAACTATTTATCTAACTTTTCTTTTTTGGTGTTTACCTATATTTTATTTATTTATTCGTTTGTTTTCAATGTGGTGCTGAGGATCAAACCCTATGCCTCACACGTACTAGGTAAACAGTCTGCCACCGAGCTACAGTCCCAGCCCCTTATCTGACTTTTCAGGAAACCAGGAGAAATGAGAGAACAGCCAATATCCCAAACAGGCCAGTTTAATTGGCATAATGGAGTTCTCCATGTCTTAATATTTAGACAAAAAAGGTAACCTGATGTTAGCCAGATATTTTTTATTGTTCTATGTATTTGTCCCTACTCTCCTTCAAGGAAAGTAACTTTGAAATGATCAGTCTGCTTTTTGTTCTTTGTTTCTGCTTATTTCAGACCTTTTCTGTCCATAAAATCAACCTCTTCTGTTCAAGCCATTTGAAATAATCATTTTATTTTCTGAAATGAACTGCTGCTGATTCTACAATCAAAAATAAAGCCAGTTAAGATCCTTAAGCTAGCCAGGTGTCCATCTGTAATTCCAGCAACTTGGAAGGCTGAGATAGAATTGCAAGATGGAGGCTACCCTGGGAAATTTAGCAAGACTTGTCTCTAAATAAAAAGGACTGGGAATATAGCTCACAGGTAAAGCCTCCCTAGATTCAATCCCCAGTACCAGAAAAAAAAAAGATATTTAAATTGTTGTAATTTTGTCCTTTTACATTTCTCACTTTGTAAATACTTAACCTTGTAAATAGTTACCTATGTAAGGTAAAATAATAAGATATCTAGACAAGATAATAAGGGCTACAGGCAGTGAAGTGGAGCACCTGTCTTCTACAGCTACAGGACATCTGGAAAGAAAACACTACCCCTGCAAACTCCCAACAAATACTAACTGAATTGAAAAATTACTATCTGAAACTCCCCCTGGGCCTTGGATGAGAAATTCTTGCTTCATAAAAATAAGCATCATGTAAGGAAATTCCACATTCCAGAATCCAATGCTAAAGAAGATTTTTAGGAAATGGGAAGTGGGGGATCTTCCAGAGAAATGGATTAAACCATATCTTTCTGAACTGGCCTGACTTTCTAAGAAAGGCCCAACATGGAATCTGGAATCATTAATACTATACCCAAGGAAGTTGAAAGATTCATTCACAAATAAAATAGGAATGAAATATCTGTCTTATGAGGTTGATTTGAGGGTAAACTAAACTATGTATATGAGATGCTTTGTAAGCTATAAAGGGTTACATAAACACTATATAAGCTAAACTCAAGTCCAACATCATTCTAAATGGACAAAAACTGAAAGAATTCCCTCTAAAAAACTGGAACAAAACAGGGATGGCCTCTTTGATTCAACATAGTCCTGGAAACTCTAGCCAGAGCACTTAGACAAAAGAAAGATATTAAAGGGATAAAAATAGGAAAAGAAGAACTCAAACTATTTCTATTTGACAACAACATGAATCTATATTTAGAAGACCCCCAAAACTCTACCAGAAAACTTGTAGAACTCATAAATGAATTCAGCAAAGGAGCACGATATAAAATTAACACCCATAAATCAATTATGTTCCTATACCTCAGTGATAAAACAACTGAAAGAGAAATAAGGAGAACTATCCCACTCACAATAGCCTAGAAAAAAATAAAATATTGGGGAATCAATCTAACAAGAGAGGAGAAAGACCTATACAATAAAAACTATAGAATACTAAAGAAAGAAATTGAAGAAGACTTTATTTTTTTTTTTTTATTAGTGTTCACACTTTAATCAATTCAACAAACATTTTTTTTTAATTTTTTATTGTTGGCTGTTCAAAACATTACATAGTTCTTGATATATCATATTTCACACTTTGATTCAAGTGGGTTATGAGCTCCCATTTTTACCCCATATACAGATTGCAGAATTACATCAGTTACACATCCATTGATTTACATATTGCCATACTAGTGTCTGTTGTGTTCTGCTGCCTTTCCTATCCTCTACTATCCCCCCTGAAGAAGACTTTAAAAGATAGAAAAACCTCCCATGTTCTTAGATAGGCAAAAGTAATATTGTCACAATGCATACTACCAAAAGTGCTATACAGATTTAATGCAATTCCTATTAAGGTTCCGATGATTCGATGATGTTTTTCATAGAAATAGAGAAAGCAGATATAAAATTTATTTGAAAAAATAAGAGGACCAGAATAGCCAAAGTAATCCTCAGTGAGAAAAGTGAATCAGGAGGCATCACAATACCAGACCTTAAATTATACTACAAAGCTGTAGTAACAAAAATGGCATGGAATTGGCAGACATGAAGACCAATGGAATAGAACAGAAGACACAGAGACAAACCCACAAAAATGCAGTTATCTCATACTTAACAAAGGCACCATAATTATACATTGAAGAAAAGATAGCCTCTTCAACAAATGGAAAACTGGAAATCCATATGTACTAGGATGAAATTAGACCTCTATCTCTCATTCTACACAAAACTCAAAGTGGATCAAGGACCTAGGAATTAGACCAAAGACCCTGTGCCTACTTGAAGAAAAAGTAGGCCCAAATCTCCATCGTGTTGGCTTAGGAACTGAATTCCTCAACAAGACTCCTAAAGTACAAGAAGTGAAATCAAGAATCAATAAATGGGATGTATCAAACTAAAAAGCTTCTTCACAGCAAAGGAAACAATCAAGAACATGAAGAACAGCCTAAAAATGGGAGAAAAATTTTACCACCTGCACTTCAGACACAGCATTAATCTCCAGGATATACAGAGAACTTAAAAAACTTAACACTGAAAAAACAAATAACCCAATCAATAAATAGGCAGAGGAATTGAACAGACACTTCATAGAAAAATAAATACAACTGGTCAAAAAATATATGAAAAAAATGTTCAACATCTCTAGCAATTAGAGAAATGCAAATCAAAACTACACTGAGATGTCATCTCACTCCAATCAGAATGGCAATTATCAAGAATATAAGTAACAATAAATGTTGGCAAGGATGTAGGGGAAAAGATTCACTCATACATTGTTGATTCACTCATACATTGACAAATTTCCCCGTACTGGAAAGCAGTATAGATTTTCCTCAGAAAACTTGGAATGGAACCACCATTTGACCCAGTTATCCCCACTCCATGGTTTATACCCAAAAGACTTAAAATCATCATACTATAGTAATGCAGCCACATCAATGTTTATAGCAGCTCAATTCACAACAGCTAAACTAAGGAACAAAACTAGATTCCCTTAAACAAATGAATGGATTAAAAAAAACCTGATACATATACACAATTGTATATTACTCAGCCATAAAGAAGAATGAAATGATGGCATTAAATGAATGGAACTGAAGACTATCATGCTAAGTGAAATAAACCAATCCTAAAAAACCAAAGGTTGCTGGGCTGGGATTATGGCTCAGTGGTAGAGCGCTCGCCTAGCGGGACCCAGGTTCGATCCTCAGCACCACATAAAAGTAAAGGTATTGTGTTGTGTCCATCTACACCTAGAAAAAAATATTTTTTTAAAAGAAAAACTAAAGGCTGAATGTTCTCTCTGACATGTGGATGCTGACTCACAATGGGGGGCAAGAGGAGGGAGGAGTGGAAGTTCACTGGTTTGGAGGGGAATTGGGGGAAAACCAGGAGGGGACGGGAATGGGAAAGACAGTACAATAAATTGGACATAACATTCCTATGTTCATATATATATGAACATATATGTGTTCATATTTGTGTAACTCCACATCATGTACAACCACAAGAATGGGAAGTTAAGGGCTGGGGTTGTGGCTCAGTGGTAGAGTGCTTGTCTAGCAAGTGTGAAGCACTGGGTTCAATTCTCAGCACTACATATAAATAAATAAATAAAATAAAGGTCCATCAACATCTGAAATAATTTTTTAAAAGAATGGGAAGTTATACTCCACGTATGTATGTATGATATGTCAAAATATATTCTATTGTCATGTGTAACTAAAAAGAACAAATACATTTTTTTTAAATAAAGGGTTATATAAACCAGATGCAGTAGCACATGCCTATAATCCCAGCAACTGGGAAAGTTGACACAAAAGAATCACAAGTTCAAGACCAGCCTGAACAACTTTAGCAAGACCCTGTTTCAAAATTTAAAAAATTGGGGCTGGGGATATGCTCAAATAGTAGCGCACTCGCCTGGCATGTGTAAGGCACTGGGCTCGATCCTCAGCACCACCGAAAAATAAAATAAAGGTATTGTGTCCACTAAAGCTAAAAAATAAATATTAAAAAATAAATAAATAATAAAAAGGGCAAGAGATGTGGCTTAATGGTAGAGTGGCTCTGGGTTCCATCCCCTGCAGTACAATAAATAAATAAATACTTACACAAATGCCAACTGTTATGGCTTTTGTCATGTACAGAATAACTGCACTTTTTTTTTTAACCTCAGAATTCTTCAAGCCGATAAGGAAAGCACTTCAGTATGTATGTCAGAAAAAGGCTGCTGCTCTGACTGTGTGTGTGGAGAAGGTGGTCTTCTATCCCAAGCCGATATGCTGGGAGGGGGTAGGTAATACCAAGGCATGCCTGGGACAGGGAGGGTCAGGAATAACCAAGAGCAACTATGAGGCATTGAGTGCTTTCTGTGTGCTGAGTACTCTTCTGAGTACCCTGTCCCCATGATTTTATTCAGCCCTTCAGCTTGATGACTTGGGTGCCAATATTCCCATTTTATAAGAGAAAACAAGCCTAGGGAAGGTGGAGTAAATTGCCTGAGGTCACACAGATGTAAGTGCTTTTCTGTGGGACTCTGAAACCTTCACCTGTAATAATTCAGTCTTGCCTCTACCCAAAAAAGCCCAATAATTCCTCATTATAAGGAGGAGTCTGTCATTGGGAAAACTACAACTTGACATTCTTCCCTGGCTATCCAACTCTTCTCTTTCCTTTCAGACAGGGCTCCAATGTCAGCTCCTTGAGCATTTCCCTAACAGCACTAAGCCTTTATATGGCGCCTGCAGGCCACCCTGGCCGCAGAATGCACTTGGCTTCCTTGTGTGCTCACTGTAGAGAAGGTCCCCAAAGACCATTGAGTGGCATGGGGAGGGGGAGTAGCAGACTTGGGGGTGGGGACAGTCCCCAATTCTTCCCCATTTACTATGAGGATTCCAATCTTATTTTCCTCAGTGAGCCTCATTTTCGGTTTTTTTCAGCTGTCAAACAATGAAGTGTGACTAGATGTTTCCTAGAGTTCTCTTCTCACTCCAAAATCTTTTGATGAAAAACTAATGAACCCCAACCCTGGGTTTCCTTCTACTGACAGTTCCTGCGGATGTTCTTTAATAGTGCCACACCTTAACTGAGAAATGTAATAAGGCCAGTGACTTTGATCAGATAACTTTCCTTGAGATTCAGGCCATTTCTTAAATCAGCCCTATTAGGGTCATAAAAACATACTAAGAATGGGGAGTGGCTGCGAGTCATTTTCATTTTGCTGGGAAAATCAAAATGAAAGACCTTAACAAACCAACCATCCAAAGAAAGCAAGGTCAAGATTCCAATAATCCACAAGGTCAGCAGGGGTGGAGTCTTATACTCCTCTAGGGGTGGTATAAGTTCAGTAGTAGGGTGGAGATGTTCTTGAACTACAAACAAGAGGCCAGAGATGGCTTCTAAAGATAAGAAAGGCTAAAGATGTAAGACAGCTGTCCATGCAATTCCAAATGAGGCACTACACAGGGACATTGTTGAATAGTTCATACCAAATTCCCAACAAACACTTTACTGATATTGTTCTTTAAAGGAAATAAAGAGTGAGGATGTGATAAATGAAAACACTCACAGAAATAAAGAGGAAGAAGTGCAGGTTAGTTTGTCTTACGAAGGCATCTGAGCTTGAAAAATCAGAGAAGAGAGGTGGAGCAAGAGGAGGACTGAGGAAGCCCCTCCAGGAATTTCTCTCCACAAACTGACCACTTTGGGCTCTTTTGTTTGTGTTTGTTTGCTTGTTTGTTTTGAGATGCTGAGAATCAACCAGGTCTTCAAACATGCTAGGCAAGTACTTTACCTCTGAGCTGCAACCCCAGCCCAGACAGACCAATTAGAACAGCTACTCACACACCAAACTATCTTTACAGCAGCTAAGGAAGCCAGCTAAACTATGCTAGGAAATACTAAGGAGGTTTAAAGAGGAAGAGTTAACAGCTTCCAGAATAAATTCTTTAATTATGAAAAAAATAAAACTAGTATTTGGAATCATGCTGAGAGTAGATTGGCTCATATGGACAAAGACAGTAAAATAAGAACTCAGGGATTGTATGATACTAGCTCTTTGAGGAAAAGGACTTTGATTCCTACATAAGGAATCTGAATATCAACAAAGCAGAGAGATCTACTTAGGCTGGAGCAACAACCAGGAGTCTATGGCCAAATCTTCCCACTCTAAACTAGAACCATATCTTCCTAGAATAAAAACTAGGAATTTAAGAGTAAAAGTTCCTAAAATGATTATATGACTAAAATGTATTCCAAATATAGTATGTAAAAGCAACTTTTCTTACAGCAAGTGATTCTTTCATAGGCATAAACCGGTTGGTTTGTTTATACTGGGGATTGAATACGGAGCCCTTTACCACAGAGCTACATACCCAGTCCTTTTTTAAAAAAAAATATATTGGGAATGCTTTTCTATTTTTATGAATCCAATGACTTTTTTTTTAATTGTCGATGGGGCCTTTATTTATTTATTCATACACAGTGCCAAGAACCAAACCCAGTGCCTCACACATACTAGGCAAGTGCTCTACCACTAAGCAACAACCTAGCCCTCCTTTTGGTTTTTTATTTTGAGACAGGGTCTCCCTAAGTTGCTGAGGATCTTGCTAAGTTGCCCAGGCAGCCCTCAAATTTGTGATCCTCCTGCCTCAGCCTTCTGAGTCACTGAGATTATAGGTATGCACCACCACACCGAGTAGAAATTGTTTTTTAAAAAAAAAAAAAGACTGTCACCTCTCATGGTATTTATTTTAATGATTATACTATAATGAATCAATAAAAATAATAGTTATTTTTAAAAAGAGTGGGGGGAGGAAGAAAGCAAACAAAACAAAACAAAAAAAATAAGACCAACCTAAGTTCCAATCCTAACCGCTTGGGCCATATAGCAAATTTTACACCCTAAGGGGCAAAAAACATACACTTTACAACTGTGTTGATGGCAGCAGCATATGCTGTCCACTTCCTGTTGATCAATACCTAGGTAAAACCCCTCAGAACACTGAGTCCTCCCAGTGATACCAGAAGGGTCAATCCCAAAGGGGTGGCTTAGAGTAAGGCAGACTTAGCAAGGTGAGGTTTGGAGCCCCAGGAATTAAAGTCCTATCATGACTTGGGGTCACTAGTCTACGCTGATGTAAGATGAATGAGGTCCACTTCATTTATATCAGGAATATAATGGCAACAAGTAATTTAAATACCTCTGTGAGACCCATACGTGGTAGTAGTGTGAAGTAAGGAAAGTTCCATACCTAGAGTCAGGTGGTCTCATTCCACCTCCTCAATGGAGCATCTGTGTGACAGGGAGCAAGTCTTGGGCTTTAGTTTCAATGTAAAAAGAAGAAAAGTGGGAGGCTTAATTATCCCATCTCTTCTATTTTCATCCTTGGCAAATGTCATTTGTTGGCTAATTCAACAACCACTTCTAACACCGTCTTTCTTCTCCTTCTCTACTGTAAAGGTGGGAAAACTAGACTCTTGCTTTCCTAACCTTCTCTGCACATAGGAAAGCATGACACCTGAGCAAAAGTAGGGTAGGGAGGTTTGCAAAAGGTTTTGACTTCCTGATGAAAGCGACACATGGAGCAAGCCTGAGAATAAAAAATGATCACTCTAAGGACTGCAGAGCAGAAGTCAGAATCTGTCTATGACTTGATGGATCATTTGAGCCCCAGAACCAACACCAGCAACCACTCGCCTTTGGAATTCTCTTGGTGAAAAGAGTAGACTCTATTTAAGGTCTTAGCAGGGTTTCAGTTACTTGGAGTTAAAAAGCATTTCTAAATGAAACGTGCTGAGATTCTAATATCCTTACCACAAAAGGAAGTAGTGGCCAGCCGACTTCTCTCCAAAGGTGGTGCCCACTTGCTCCACATCCCATGGCAGGCTGGGTAGGTCACACCCTAGTAGAAAGATTGAAGATAGATTATTAAGTTTGACTCCAATTTCTGTGTTTAAAGCATGGATGCTGCCTCTTCACACAGGCTATAATATAAAAACCCAGTATAGACACACTGCTATAGATTGAAGTTTGTATCCCCCATCAAATGCCTATGTGGAAAGGTAATCCCCAGTATGATGGTCCCCAGTTGGAAATGGACCTCTGGGAGGTGATTAGGGCATGAGGATAGTCCTCAGGAATAGGATTGATGCCCCTATATGAGACTCCAGAGAGCACCGTTGCCCTTTCTGTACATGAGGACACAGAGAGAAGATGACTATTTATGGTCCAGGAAATGGGCACGGAATCTGCTGAATTTGCCTGATACTTAGACATCCCAACCATGAGAAATAAATTTCTATTGTTTATGGCATTTTATTATAGAAGTTCAAACAGATTGAAAAGCCACTAAATAGCATAATACAGTTATTTTGACTTATAACACAGATACTGAAATTCAAACACAATTCAATGCAAGCATGGTGGACAGTTGGAAGGAAGTCTTTATATTTGATATTATTAAAGAATTTCAGTGTTGGAAGTGACTTCCCCTCATTGTTTAAAAAGTATTTTATTTTAATGAGGAATGCCATTTGATAACTTTTAACAAGGATTTTTTTAAACATTTATTTTTTAGGTGTGAGTAGACACAATACCTTTGTTTTATTTTTACGTGGTGCTGAGGATCAAACCCAGTGCTTCATGCATGCTAGGCAAGTGCTCTACCTCTGAGCTACAGGCCCAGCCCCAGTTTCCCTCATTTTAAGACCCAGAATCTGAAGCTAAAAGACATTAAGTGTCTTCTAGATCTTTGTCTTCATGGCTGCTAATGTCGCATTCTTTCTACCACTTCAGTGTTTCCCAAAGTATGGCCTATATCCCTCCAGTGGGACTAGAATGGGACTAGAACTGGATTTGAGATGCAATAATAATATACATCTTAGTTATAATAGTTACATATATATTCTAATATGCTTTAGACAAAAATATAAATAACAACCTCAAACCCATAATTTCAAAGACACTGTTGCGTAGACTAAGGGCTTTTGTTTTATTTTTGAAGAGAGTTGATCTAGGCAATAACAATGGGCAAACAGTAAGACAAGTCATACATGGATATGACAAAGGTTAAAGGTGAATGTCAGAGTTTGGAAAATGTTGCTATTCATCAGGAGTTAGTAAATATGACCCAATTTGACCCACCATTTGTTTTTGTATAAGATTTTTACATTTTAAAGTCCTTAAGAAAAAAATTAAAAGAAGATACATGGCACACACAAATCATGTGAAAATCAAATTTCAGGATCCAAAATGTTACTGGAACACAATCCTCCCCATTTGTTTCTACAATATCTGGGGCTCTTTTGTGCAATAATGGCAGCATCAAGTAGTTGCAAGTGTCACCATATGGACTGCAAACCTCAAAATATTTACCTTGCAGTTCTAAATGATGCTGCTTCCTCCACTGAATTATATCTTCACATCAGACTACACCTTAGAAATTTACAGAGGCTTTTTTCTTTTTTTCTTTTGTCAGTACTGGGGATTGAACCCAGGGGCATGGGGCATTCTACACTGAGTTACATCCCCAGCCCTTTTTAATTTTTGAGACAGTCTCTCACTAAGTTGCTGAAAGTCTTAAGTTGCTGAGGCTGCCCTCAAACTTTGAATCTTCCTCTGGAGTTGCTGGGATTATAGGTGCATGCCACTGCATCCAACAGAAATTTACAGATTGATTAATAAATGCATTTACAATGCCTTCACTAAAGGAAAGAGCTCTTGCTATGTGAACTGTGGGTTTAGGGTTTCAGTTTCATCATCTATTAGAATGAAAGGGGGCTGGGGTTGTGGCTCAGTGGCAGAGCGCTTGCCTAGCATGTGTGAGGCACTAGGTTGGATTCTCAGCACTACATATCAATAAATAAAATAAAGGTCCATTGACAACTAAAAAAATATTTTAAAAAAATGAAGGGGATTAGATTAGGTTATCTCTAAGATCACTAAGGAATGAATAATCCTTTATTATGTATAAATGTGAAGGTGCACAAAGCATTTTAATTAAAATATTCATAACTACAACCATTACCAGAGAGCAGGAGAAGTAGGAGATAGGAAAACTGAGTAAAACCAAATTTTCTAAAGGACCATGCTGTCTCTAGCAATATCAAAAAGCATAAGGAAGTCAGGAGCAGTGGTGCACCCCTGTAATCCCAGTGGGTCAGGAGGCTAAGGCAGGAGGATCACAAGTTCAAAGCCAGTCTCAGTGGTGGCGAGGCACTAAGCAACTCAGTGAGACCCTGTCTCTAAATAAAAAACAAAATAGGGCTGTGGATGTGGCTCAGTGGCCGAGTGTCAATCCCCAGTACCCCCGCTCCCCCCCCAAAAAAATAGTAAGGAGAGTATATCTCCTACCTCCACTAGACCCTGCAAAATTCTGACACACATGACACAGCCGTAGTGCACTCTGGCCGCAGAAGGAATGAACATGTTCAAAGTTGATGTTAAGAAGATGGCAGCTCCAAAAACCCTAGGGGATCAAAGCACCGGGTTATTGGGCAGGCTAGTAATAGCTGAGGCACTTCAGTTAAACATCAGCAACCACTCCAACAGCTCATGAAAGAGCCTTATGGAAATTAAGAGAAATAAATACAAAGAAATAGATGGTGTGTTAGTGTCTTGGGTACCCAAAGCTAGACTCCTTGGTTGCTTTGATTCCCATGCTCCAGCCTGTGGACCAATTATGGATACATTTATGGCAGCAGCACAGAAATATCCTGCCTGGAAAGTTGCAAAATGACTAGGTTGAAGTGAACTTGCCAAAGACCCACCAATCTTCCTGGTTCCACCCTAGTGACCCTTCCTATTACTATGGCTTCTGCCTCTTTGGGTTTTTCCCTAATACTTCCCACACTGCTTTCAGTATACCATGAGGGGACACTGACTATCCAAGAAGCATCCTACCCTGACCAGCCCAGCACAAGACAAGCTAGGTGCTTGTCTTAGCCCCTATTTCCTGCCAGTACCACTTGCTATCTCCCTGCCTGGCCCAGGGTGTCCTGGCAAAAAAGAGCAGGAAGGTTTTCTTCCCTTCTGCCACATATTAGCGAAGCTTCAACTCTTTTTACAAGCTGGAAAATCAAATTATGTGTAATTTCTTTTTAGGGAAGAGATGCAAGCAGTAACTGGGTAGCTCATAGCAGCCAATATTTGACACATTTTTAAGAATAATACAATACATAAACAATAAATAAAACCTACAAATTAGCTAAGAGCGCTTGCCTGACACATGTAAGTCATTCATATTTAAATCTTATGATAATAACTTTCAAATTTTTGATCTTTTTTGAATTTTTTTTAGTTGTAGATGGACACAATGCCTTTATTTTGTTTATTTATTTTTACATGGTGCTGAGAGTCGAACCCAGTGCCTCACATATGCCAGGCAAGCGCTCTACCACTGAGCCACAAGCCCAGCCCAAATTTTTCATCTTAACTCTTAAAATATATTTTATACTGCAGCCCAGTCTACACTTACACACACAAATGTAACTGCAACAAGTTTCTCAAACATCAATACCTATCCTTATATGCAATGCACTCAGATATGTTCTATTCTGTTTATTATTATTATCTTCTTTTCTATTTCTCTCTCTTTTTAAAAGAATGCTCATTGGTAAATCACTATGTTGATTTCACAATCATCTAATGAGTTGTACTTCAAAGTTTGGCATATGAGAAATACATCATAAGGGGCCTAGAGATATTTGTACTTTTCTGAGACATGATATACTCCACAACATCTCCCCCAAGTGGTTGTCTTCCTCTGCTTGAATAGCTCTAAGTGACAGAGAACTCACTGCTTATTAAGACATCTCATTCTGTAATTAAACATTTAATTTGGGGCTGGGGTTGTGGCTCAGTGATAAATTGCTTGCCTAGCATGTGTGAGGCACTCGATTTAATTCTCAACCCCACAAATAAATTTAAAAAAATAAATAAAGGTCCATGAACAACTGGAAAAAAAACACTTAATTGCTCAAACAACTCCCATAGAGTCTTAAAAACATCTGGAAGTCTAGAGGCAAGTCCTTGACACTCACATAACAGAAACTTTATGGTACTGGGCAATATTAACATAAGTACATAGGATCATAGAACATCACTGGTCAAAGGGAAATAAAACACAATTTAGTCCAATGTTTCCATTTGAGATAATTGAGGCCCAGAGAGGGAGAGAAAGCAACTCAACAGAGATAACTTGGTGAACCAGATGAGAGGCCAGGAACCATTTCTTCAAGACTCAGAGCTAATTGTTCTCTTTACTACATAATCAATGAGTTGCACGGTAAAGTACATTTGTCAAAAAGTTAATTGAAAGAGACAATTAAGAGGATCATTTGGGATCAATATCTATGAACTGCATCTATCTAGATAATTCCTGTTTTTCATTCTGCACCCCAAAACAGAGAACCAACTATGAAACTTTTTTACAGTACAAAGCCATGTTATAACCTGTGCAGCACTCACATCGGTCTTACCTGTTAGCTGCAAACTTGTTTGAAATGAACCCGCCAGGAATTTGTGTCACAATATAACCCCAGAAAAAAGATCCATGGATAAGGCCCACTGTCTCTGGATCCCAGTTAAACTGTGCCATCTGCAAATGAGAAATCAGATACACTTGCGTTTGTAAGAAAACAACTGACCACCATTTTTCACTGATGATCCTACATAAAGATCCCATGAAGTCCTTCTTTCCTTCTTTTATTCCACAAAGACTCTCTAGAAGGCATCTTGCCCATTTTGGATACAGAAGTGATAGCAATGAGAGTCCTTTCTCTAATGAATCTTGCCTTCTAGTGCAAGAAAGGAGAGGTCTGTGCAAATTACTTGCATACATACGTGTGTGTGTACACATATATATAAATACATAGGTGTATTATCTGTATGTATGTGTTTTACATATATAAATTAGATATATACGTACACATACCAAATAGTGATGAGTGCTAAATATAAAATAAAATAGCTTGTGAAGAAAACAAAAAATCAGTTCTAGGATTACTGGGTTATTTAGTAGATTATTCAGATATTAGTTCAGTGATAGCATAAAGGGAATCAAAGTCTTAAGTCTCTCATTTCTTAATGAGGGTAATAAAAGCCATTCTACCTGCTTCACCCAGCTGCTGTCAATCACCTCACTCCTTTCTCATGCCTTTCTCTCTAAGTGGATAATGCTTCTCTGAAAGCAGTGATACCTAAAATGGGCACTTGGGCCTACCAAGAATTTTTATCATTATTTGAGTCTCATTAAATCATAATGGTGGACCAAGGGCTTAAACAGACATTTCTCCAAGGAAGACATGCAGATGGCCATACATCTATATGAAAAGATGCTAAATGTCACCAATCATCAGGGAAATACAAGTCAAAACTATAATGAGATATTAGCTCATACCTGTCTTGATGGCCATTATCAAAAGAAAGATGGGGGCTGGGGTTGGGGCTCAGTAGTAGAGCGCTTGCCTGGTACATGTGAGGCACTGGGTTCAATCCTCAGTCCCACATAAAAATAAATAAATAAAATAAAGGTATTGTGTCCATCTACAAGTAATATATATATATAATTTTTTTTTTAAGAAAGGATGATGACATGCACTAGTAAGGATGTGGAGAAACTGGAACACTTACTGCCTGTGGGAATATAGGATAGTGTGACCACTATAGAAAACAATATGGAGTCTCCTCAAAAATTAAAAATATGATACAGCAATTATGCTTCTGGGTATTTGTGGGAGGCCATCCTCACATGTGATTTGAGTTACCTCCCTGGCTGGGTGAGAAAGCTCTGACACAGCTGTGACTAAGTGCCTCTCACCCAGCCAGGGAAGTAACTCAAATCACGTGGGAGGATGGCCTCCCACAGGTGTTTACCCAAGAAAATTAAAATCTGGACCCCAAAGATATCTGCACTCTCATCTCCACTGAAGCAATATTCACAATAGCCAAGATATGGAAATGACATGAGTGACTGATGAGAGATGAATAAAGAAAATGTGGTGTATACATTTAATAAAATACAATTCAGCTTTTTGTTTTTAAAGAGAGCGAGAGAGAATTTTTTAATGTTTATTTTTCAGTTTTCGGCAGACACAACATCTTTGTTTGTATGTGGTGCTGAGGATCGAACCTGGGCCGCACGCATGCCAGGCGAGTGCGCTACCGCTTGAGCCACATCCCCAGCCCAATTCAGCTTTTAAAAAAGAAGGAAATTCAATAATGTCCAACAACTTGGATGTACTACAGGAAATACGACAGTCACAGAAGAATACCGTTTTATTCCACTCATATGAAGCATCTGAAAGAGTCAAATTCACTGAATCAAAGTGTGATGGTGGTTGTCAGGGGTTGGAGAGAAATGGGAAGTTACTAACCAGTGGGCAGAAAGTTTCAGTCAAGCAAGATAAAAAAGGCTCTAGAGAGCTGCTGTACAATACCGTACTTACAAGCAACAATAATGGACACTTACAATTTATTAAGAGAGTAGCTCTCACGGTAAGCATTCTTATCACAATGGAATATTTTAAAGTATAAATTGTATGAACCATTACTATAATAATCCAAGCACTTTGTCAAGTACTGTGGTAGGCTGAAAAATGGTCCCCAAAAGATATCCACATGAAAGCCCTGGTAGATGTCAATGCTACCTTATTCAGAAAACTCGTCTTCACAGATGTGGAAAGTCAAAGACCTTAAAATAAAATATTCTGGATTATCTAGCTGAGCCCTAAGTCCAATGACAAGTGTCCTTATAAGAGAAAGGCAGAGGGAGATTTGAATCCGAAGAGAAGACACAGAGAGAGGAAAAGGCCATGTGAAGATGGAGGAAGAGAATGGAGTGAAAGTCACAAACCAAGGAATTCTTGGAGCCACCAGAAGCTGGAAGAGTCAAGGAAGGAGTCCCTGCTAGAGACGTCAGAGGAAGTGAGGCCCTGTCGACACTTTGATTCCAGACTTCTGGTCTCCACAAACTATAAGAGGATAAATTTCTGCTGTTTTAAGCTATCGGGTTTACGGAAATTTGTTATAGGGAGACTGATACAGGTATTTAAGATCCAATGAGTTAAATATTAAATTATCTCATTTGATCTTCAAAGGAGTCCTTTTATTTCCATCTCACAATAAGGTGGACGAGGGTTAGCAAAAAATTGCTAGAAATACTAGTTCCTGTCTCCTCCTAAGAGGATTCTGCCTCTCCTCCAGGGACTTCTCCCCTGCTGACCAGCATGGCTGATGGGGAGGTCAGAATAGAGAGCTAAACCATAGCCTAGACTTAGCTAATCTGCTTTTCCCTCCCCTGGATGGAGTATATCAGCCCCTCTTCAGGCTGGGCCCCTCCTGAACATGACACAGACCACACAAACAGCCATAACCAACCTGCTTCCTGCACTTCACTTTCATGAGATTCCCCCTCAGCCCTTCAATAACCCCCTTTTGAACCTGAACTGGTCTCCCTGTACTTGTGTTCTTTTCAACCAGCAATCCCTGACCAGGACACAAGGGCAACTTGCTCAAGACCCCAGAACTAATAATAGCAATCAATTTTAAAAGGTCTGGCCAATTCCAAAGCCCATCCTCTTAACCTTATAAGACTTGTGATCGATGGGAAGGACTTTGGACTTTCCTGAAGGTATTGCAAAATAATCACAAGGTTTCTCAACCTTCAGTCATTTTTTTGCTTACCATATGCCAGATACTATTCTTAGTACTCCACGTGTTTTAACATTTTTTTTTGGGGGGGGGGGGGGTTACTGGGGATTGAACCTAGGGCCTTGAGCACACTTGAGCACACTAAGCACTAACCACTGAGTTGCACCTCCAATCCTAACACATAATTATTAAACTAAAAAATTATTATCCACATATGAGCTAAAAAATCACCCTTTATGCCACTTATAGAACACATGCCACATAATTATTTGGAAGACCAATGTATTCATACTACCTCTCCCCACCCCCATTCCCCCACCCTCTCTCTCTCTCTCTCAAATGAGGATTGCAACATTTCTTAGTGCAAAATATCTAGTTTTTCTCCCCATAAAATAAAACAAACAGACAAACAAAAATACCAGCCAGAGCACTTTGTCATTCGGTTGCACATACTCAGCAGACATCTAAGCTTTGTTCTATTTGGACCAGAGAGAAATTGCCTGATACAAATAGGAGTTACGCTAGAGCTTCTGAAATGCTACTGAACTCCCACTCTTGAGGCCAGAGAAAGTCATGTAAAGCACATTTTAGATCTTAATCAGTTCCTCTAAGACTCCAGAAGGCAAAACCTTAGAAACTAGAGAGCACACACTAGCATTGTTCCTTGGGTTTATCAAAATGTCTTTTCTATATGCCTCAAAGCAGATTCTATTGACCTCGGCCTGTCTTTTCAGGCAACAAACAAATGCAAAACAATCTCATTTTGATCTGGGTCTCAGCAGATAAGTTTTAATTAGCTGGCCTTGCTCACAAAAGGCTGAAAGAATGCATGTGATACCCATCTGAAACCTCACTAATATACATCATTCTTTATTTTAAAAATTCATGATATGCTCCTCCACCTCTATCCCAACCCTGGCACCATCCCCCCAAAAAAGGCAGGATATCTTTTTAGGACAGATTCAGCTGTGGCATCAAAAAGAAACTACAAGAATCTCCATGGTGCTGTTTTCCTCTGGCAGAATAATCTCTTAGTTTAAAAAAAAAAAAAAAAGCCTGCAAGCCAACTGAAGACCTGTTTTTAATGGACTGACATCAAATTTTCCCAAGCCAGCACTTGGCAGGAGACTGTTCCAGATGATGCTAATAGATATCACATGAAAGAGTATTCTGCCATCAAGTCAGTCCAAGAAAGACTGCATCTCATGTCCCCATCCTGCACAGTTGCATAGGACACAAAACAGTACAGGCAACACCTTCTTCAAAGCACAGCCAGCAAAGCAATGAATTCCCAGTCTGGGAAACTCTAATCTAAACGTTTCTCCAAATACAGGTGGGGACCAGAGAACTATTAGATGCCTCTCTGCAAACACATCTCCATTTCAGGGTATGTGTTCTGTTCAACGAAATATATATTTATTGGGTGCTGGTGGCCATATATTTTAATTTGGTATTTTTCTCCCATAACCTTCTTAATAAACCAGATTTTATGTTTCCAATGAATCATAAAACAATTTTATTAAATCACACCATAGTATACTTGCTTATGACTACAACAGCCTCTGAACTGCTCCCCAGCCTCCACTCTTGTCTCACTTGTACCCAGCCTCCTTCCACTGGGCAATGATCATCCTGAAGCATGGGTTTGGTTGCCTCTCCCCTTTAGCCCATCCATGACTCTCTACCTCATTATCAGGCCTTGTATGAACTGATCCCTATTGACTTTGCTATCTCCATCTCTTAGTGCTCTGCCTTCTTATTGAGAATTCTCATCCTGTGGATGGAATCGTATAGATCTGTGAACTTAATTTTCACTAACTGCTAACTAAAATTTAGGCTTTTCTGCAATTTAGTGCAGAAAACCATCTATAGTATTTTTTCTGTAGTGACTCTGTTACTATAAGTCATAAACTAGTATGTTCATATTGATTGTTGCCACTATCCCAAACTATTGTTTTTACTTCAAACTTAAAATTGCAGCAATTGTAGAACCATTGCTAGATTTTTTCATCTGATAAGTTAATAAAGGAGCCCACATGTCTCTGTATCACCAATTTGATTTTTTAATATTTTGATATGTATATTTTAACATAATTGACTTCCTTTTCAATCCTTCGCACTTTGTGTGTGTGTGCACATGAGCATGCTGTGGATCGAACCCAGGGCTCAGGCATGGCAGGCAAGAATTCTACCATTGAGTCACATCCCCAGCTCATCCTTTGCATTTGATGTTAAGAATTTAACACATTATCTTTGACAAAATATTCATAAGCTATTACCAGGTTGCCAAAGGGAATCATGGCACAGAAAATTGAAATGCTCAGGTCTCAGTTCCTAAATCATAGCCTGTCTGCTCTGTTTCCAACTGTTTCTTTCTCCCTTATGATATTCCTTTTTCTTCCACCCCACCAAAACTCTCTGTCTGGTCCAACCATCACTTTTCTCTGGGAATTCTTTCATGATATCAAAGTCTGAGCTAGATGAGCTCAAGGATCCTGTGTTTGCTGAACTTAGCCCCTAGAATCCCAAACTATCATCACTTACTGTCTGTCTCTGTAAGGATAAGGGCCCAGCTGAGGCTCACCAGACTTTCCCCATCACCACACAGTGTCCAGTGCATGGTAGTCACGCTACACTTTTGCAATATCAATGAATGAGTGACAGTGCTTACTTTCATTTGCACAGCTATGAGTAAAAAAAAAAAAAAAAAATGTCCTGTGAGATATAGATACTGACCTGTATTTCTGGTTTTCCATCCACATATACAGTGCTGTTGTTGACCATTTCTACAATGGCAACTCCAAGATTACACCGAATCCCAAAGGAGATGCAGAATCCCAGCCCACTCATGATGGCGATGATGTAACGCTTAGGGATGCCACAGCAATGGCAGTCACAGAGCGGAGGGCGTGGCCTGGATGCCTGCACGGGCCTGCCTTCTTCATTCAGTTCAATGTTATCTTCTTCCTCATTGGTCCCATCAATTTTTCTACATTAGAAAACAATGGACAGAGAAGAAAAGCCAGAATTAGAGGGGGTGAGGGGGGTGTACTAAGCAAAAAGAAAAAATTGTAACAAGAAAAACCTGAGGCCATTCTCCTTGGCGTGGAGATGGCCATTTCTCCCTATACCTATTTACAACATCTTTCCTCTGTATGTCCCTGTGTTCAAATTTCCTCTTCTTACAAGTACCCAGTCACATGGATGATGGCCTCCCTTCATGACCTCATTTTAACTGAATGATCTCTTTAAAGGTCCTATCTCCAAACACAATCATATTCTGAAGTACTGGATTAGAATTTCAACATACGAATTGGGGAAGTGGCAGCAGGGGATGGGGACAATTCAGCCATAATAGTCCTCATCTCTAAAATGGGCTAATCAGACTGGCTATCTCATAGGGCTATTTACTGACTGATGCATGTAAATGCATCACATGAAAGAACTTTACATTCATAAATGGTAAATTCTAGGATTATTGCTCTTAATATAATTGTTAGCAGTCAGAAGCTCAGCATCTCTATAAGCATGAAGATGCTTTAGATGAAGAAGAATGAAGACTGATATTTTCAGGCACTCTGGGGCTCTGAGGAGTTTAACTGAAGACAGCCCCAGCTGCTGTGCTCTGATTCCACTATGGCTTTGGCTTTGGCACACGGCCACACTTTTCACAGGCTGCTTTCTGACAAGGATTGAGCCCAACAGGGACATAAGGCAGGTCCTTTCCTGGAAGAGGCAGGACTCTTCTGACAGGTGACTGGCTCCAGGATTCTCCATTGACCTTGCCAAAACATCTAGTTGTCTAGTCTGAAATGCTTCTACTTTCCTCCTTTCCTGTTTCCTGCACAGATAGCATGCAGTCTGGATGCTGTCCCAGCCTCCTCCAGCTCCTTCCCCATTTTCCCCTCAATAAACCCCTTGTGTATCTGTTTTCCTGTCCACTTCCTAGAGGACTTGAACTAACACAAGCATCTCTCAACATGGCACCATCTTAGATGTCCTGAGACTTTCCAGAGGGATAACACAACAGTATGGGAACTGGAGCTGGGGGAGGGGGAGAGAATGGTGAGAAAAGCACAGGAATCTCCAAAGTGACAGCCAAGCCAACACTTCAAAGGACTATGAGATCAGGAGAAATGCCAATCAACAATGAGAGGGACCTCCTGGGTGCAGCAGGAAGGGAAGCTCCAAAATTGACCAAAATTTAATTTCTACCAGGCAGGGCCCTCCAAGTAGATTGGATTTGTTTTTAAAAACCTAAAATTGTAGGAGGGTTTGGGGTGTAGCTCAGAGTGGTAGAGTGCTTTTCTGGCATATGCAAGGCCCTTGGTTCAACCATCAGAATAATAATAATAATAGTAATAATAATAATAATAACCGTGGAACATTTATTTTATAGGCAAGCTCAGAGAAGAAGATTGAGAATAACTTCACATTGTGTGATGAAACGGGGCTTTAGGCAATCAGTAACCTGGATGTAACTGTCAACTCTGCCACTTACATACCAGTTGTGTGACTTTGGTCAAGTAACTTGGCCTTTCTGAATCTCACAATTTGTTATCCATACAATAAATACAATATTTATCTTAAGAGTTGTTCTTAAGATTGAATGATACTGTACTACAAAGAGTAAAATATTACCATGAAAAGTGAGTGGGCATTAACAAATATTATAATCTGTACCACCCCTGGTGTTTCCTTTGGGTGGTTTCATTCATTGTTTTTGTGGAGCTAGAGATGGAGCCCAGGGACTCTCGAACACTGGCTTGACCACTGTCCTGCATCCCCAGCCACCTCTGGGTATTATGCATTCCTTGGTTAGAGTACTTACCATGTAAGTTGGAGAGTTTGGTTTTCATCAGCATAGTAGGTAGGGAGCAGATCTGATGATTCACATACATAGACTTTAATGAAGAGCTCCCCCACCCAGTGGGTCATGAGCCTGCTGAGGCAGGAGCCATCTCCCACCCAGTGTTCAGCACAGTACCTGGACACAAGGAATCTTCCTTTGACTGAATGGAAATGTGGGTTGATTCCAGATGTCACTCCTGACTTGAGCACTTAAAGAGACGGGGTAAGGGTCTATTCATCTCTGCCCAGAAACAAACTTTACAGAAAGAATTGGGGAGAGGAAAGAAAGTTACCTAAGAATAAAACAAACAAACAAAAAAAAACTCCTTTCTTAAGAAAGTGGAGGATTTTAATTATCCCTAAAAGCTATTTACCCCATTTGGTTTTCTCTGACTGTGCCTGCCCTCACACTTTTAGATCTGAGAATCTTCATTCTTTCCAGAGTGACATCCATCATTATTTTTCCAAGTATAGAAAACTGCAGATTGTGGGTTGCTGGTCCTTCACGTACTAGGGCAGTACATGCCCACTGTTCTCCTGTCCAGCAAGCCTTTGTTACCATGAGTCTGATTGTTTTACATATGCTAACAAGCTTTAGGCAATCAGATAACCTGGATGTGATTGTCAGCTCTGCCACTTACATACTAGTTGTGTGACTTTGGTCAAGTAACTTGGCCTTTCTGAATCTCACAATCTGTCATCCATACGATAAATACAATATTTATCATTTACATATGAGCATTTATAGAACTATTTACTTATAATCCAAACATTTCCACCAATTGTGGAGGAGGTTTTGTTTTGCAATTAATAAGGTCCACATTTGGAGCACAAAGTGAGCAGAACTTGCAGATAATTCTGTGAGTTTTTAAAATTCTTTCACTTATTTATGTATTATATGTGTTATGGGATTCTGAGCTATAAGATATAGATAAATCTTCTTAAGACTGTTTTGATAATCAAGGGAGATACTATACATTAAAAAAAAAAAAAACTTGACAGTTCTAAACAAAACCAGAAAACCTCAGAGTACCTAGAATGGAGAAGCTATTCAATGTCTTCAATTTCATCTTTCAATTTTCTTCCTTTCTCCAAAAACATAGCAACTCAGTGATCATGTGAAAAACAACTTTGAAGTAACTGTGACCCTTTCAGAAGGCAAATTAGAATACTATTTGCCATAACAAAAATACTACAGTCTGGGAAGCTTAACCCATTAAGTTCCAAGTTTTCATTCTGTGATTACTTCAATGAAATTGGCACAGGTGAGTTAAAATGGATTGGAAATCATAAACTAGTGTGTGTGTGTGTATTCACATATATAATATTAATCTTATTATTTTATAATATAACTTTATTATTCTTATCATTACTTTTTATTGTATATTATATACTATATTTAAGTTTAGGTTCCCCCACCCCCTGCTTCCTGACCCCACCATAAGGTGAGGAGTTTTCCTCCTCTGGGCTCTTCCACCATGATGCTCTTCCTCACCTCAATGGACTGAGACTCTGAAATTGCTAGCCCCAAATAAACTTCCCCTCTTCTAAGTTGCTCTTGTCAGATATTTTGGTCACAGCAAAACAGAAGCTGACTAAAACAGGCCCCCAACCTTGGCTTGCAAATGGCCGCCTTCCCACTGTGTCCTCAGATGTCCTTTCTTCTATGCACATGCATCTTCAGTGTCTCTTGTAATCCAAATTTCCTCCTCTCATAAGGGCACCAATCCTATTACATTAAGGTCCAGCCTCACACCCAGTGCAGTTTTGCAGATTTGGGCATTAGCCTATGCTGGTCTTGTTTTCCTCCTGGTAATCTTTCCTGTCCCCTCATGTAAAAAGAGTTGGTGCTCCTTGCCTCAGCAGGGAAGGATAAGATGGACAACAGAGAAAAAGACTTAGTCTCTTGGTTTGTGTTTTTTATTTCCAAAATTCATAGGTGACAAACCGACAGCTCTATAGCCACATCTGGCCCACAGACATGTTTTATTTATATTATATGATGTATGAGTAAGGGGTTTTTTTTCTTTTTTAATTTTTTAATATTTATTTTTTTAATTATCGGCGGACACAACATCTTTGTATGTGGTGCTGAGGATCGAACCCAGGCCGCACGCATGCCAGGCGAGCGCGCTACCACTCGAGCCACATCCCCAGGCCCCAGGGTTTTTTTTTAATTTGGATTAAATTGCCAGTTGAAAATTCAGGAGGGCTGTGTGTGTGTGTGTTGTGTGTGTGTGTGTGTGTGTGTGTGTGTGTGTGTGTGTGTGGTGTTTAACCTGGAATTTTTACCTTCTTCTGAAAAATGTGAAGACCTGGAATTATTAGATCCACACTCTCATGGTATAATTGGCATTCCCATTTACCACAGTCCTCACCACTCCCTCTAGTCACCCCTACACTGAACTGAATTCCCATTTCATATTATACTTGCACTGTTGTTCTTCTTATAGTTAAAACTAAGATTTTGCTCAAGAGCAAGATGGCAGTTCTCTTGGAGACCAAGTGTTCTCTGCAGTGGCTCAAAGAGGTCCAGCTCTATTCATCCAGACCCCAGGGGCCAGACGTACTCATGTTTCAGCGTTTCTCCAGGACCGACCCACACCCTAGGGCAGTGTGGAACACAGCACATTCACCTGTCTTCAAGCCACCATTCTGGTTCCAAGGCTGCATCTCTCCACTGGACTAGCAAGAAGGTTGCCTGTGTTCTGCTCCTGGGCCAGCTTCCAGCTGCATATTTGAATCCTTGCTCTGCAATGGACTACTCTGGCTGCAACCCTCACTCTCCAGAGTCACAGGAGCCTTAGACAAGTTGTTATTACTATGTTCATGGGGATGCATTGCAGAAAGCTGTCAAGGCAGGTCTTTTGGCACTTTAACCTTTGCTGAGCTTTCGACAGTCATGATATGGGAATCTGCAAAGCTGCTGCTATGCTGTGGAAGTGCCAACCTTCAGAACTGCGTGCCTCTTCACCTCTGCTCCATCATGCCATTCAGCACACAATAAGGAGGAAATATGAGATAAGTCCACTGGGGGACAAACCTTCTCCTAATCACATGGTTATTCTGGAATCTAATTGTTGAGCAGAAGGTTTGAGAGGAAATGAATATCCAAGAAACTATGAGACTGAATTCTGC